CCCACAGTTCCGGAAGTAAATTTTTCTCGGCCAAACGCTTCCTGGCCTTTTTTTCAATTCAATTGAGGAACATGTCCACCAAATATCAGCCAAATTGGACGAGGTCGTAGGCACGAGCTGTCCTTCTTAAATAAATCCACTCATTGTGTGGTGCGCGGCTAGGCGCTGCTAGAGGGTCTGATTGATGGGGGTGGCCCAAAGTGAGCGTCACCGGGACACTATCGCGACGTACACAAAACGTTCGGAACGTAACAGCCTTAGAATGGGGCCCATGACGTGGTGGGCCTCGGAATGAGCCCACTTCTGGGAGCCTAAGAGCCATATGATTGGTTGAATGTTAGCGAAGCCTTTTGCTGTTTTGCTGTGCGTCTGTCTGTACTGGCCCACGTTTCTCCCGAACTCCATTACCAAAATTAGATTTAAAATAATAAGATTCATCATATTTTTTAAAAATATCGAGTCAACACGAGTCTACTTCACTTTCTACAAAAATTGTTGTTTGAAATATGAACACAGAGATCACTAAGAACGCCTGTACCGGCCATTAATAATTGTTTTTTTCCAACTATACACATTTGGTGATTTAATACAGTATCGCTTCATGTGCTTGCCGCACGTCAAAGTATACAAGAAGCGACGACTGCCGGTGGTGGCGTATGATCATACCCTCCAAATAAACAGTTCTACACTGTAAAATCCTTGGCAACGAGTAGTGTGGCTGCTTAGTAACTGAGAACCAATAGCTAACGATTTCCTTTGTAGTGCGAAGAAGAAATTCCTTCTCCTCCCACAACTTCAACAACAACGTGCTCGTTTTTAAATGCATTTTTTCAAAAGTTTGCCTCTGCGCTTCGCCTTCTCCAAGCCGATTAAAAGCACGGGGTAAGAATGATGCACTTGGTGATTGCTTTGGATCCAGCGTCTAATCCCCCATGCCACTGCCGCCAGTGCTGGCCGCGCCGCCCTCACCGTGCGCTGCTGCGCTGCTCCCAATCACAAGGCAATGTTGTCGGACGGAGTATCCTAGTATCCTTGTTTTGAAACGTCTCGCTCGGGGAGATTCCGCGCCGGGCCGGGCCGTGCAAGTCGCGCGTTTGGCCTCCGGCTATCTGGCCTGGGGCCTGCAGTTGCGGCAGGGGAGCCGGGGCGGGTGCGGGACAGGGGGGGCGGGCGGAGGTTCGTCATGTCCTTCCTCTCCTCCAGAGCGTGGTCCAGCTCCACCTCCATGATAGGAGACTGGCCGCCACAACCTGGACGGGGCAACAACCTGGCGGCTGCGTCTGCAGCGGCTGAGCCAGACTGCAGAGCGCCCGAGACCGCGCCGCCTTGCCTCCAGCGGCGCGCGGCAGGCTGCCCTCCCGGCCGGGGTCCTGTCTGGTCCTTCCCCCCCGCGAGGTGCACGCCGCCGCCGCCGGCCGCCGCCCTCCCCTCTCTCTCACACTCTCCTCCAGCGGCAGGCGAGCACACGCCGCGCGGCGCCTCATAGCCCCACACGCCGGCGTCACGGCGAGGTCTTGGAGGCGGTGCTGGTCGACCAGCAGCAGCAGCGGAACGGCGCGCGCTGTCGTCGTCGCGGAGGTGCTGCCCGCCCGGGCCATGGCGCGGCGGCGGTAGCGGAGCCAGCTCAGCAGGTGAGTGACTCGCTCGTGTTTCCTCGACGGCCCCCGATGCATCACTCGGCACTTTCACAGTCGCTCCCCGCCCCCCGCTTCTCCCCGCCGCGTCACCGCGACGTGTGCCCGACACTGTGCCGTGAATTGGTCCGTTTATTGGCGGGGCAGCGTTTAGAAGCCGTGGGCGCGGGTCTCTCTAAGCACCCGGGGGATCAGTAGGGGAGACGGGGCGGGGGGCGGCACAAGTGAGCACAGGTAAACATTGCGAAAAACGGTCGCGGGAAAGTTGGCGCGCTCGTCAAACTTGCGACGCCGCGTCGTCACCACTCGTCGTCGCCCGGGCCGCAGAGCAAAGTGCACGTGTCCCGCCGACGGCGAGGTGCCGCGGCGGGCGCCTCAAACCCCTCAGCAATAAGGTGCTCATCCCGGCAGAGTATATCGAGTAACTCGCAGTGGCTCGCTTTATGACCTCGCTTACCTCACCGGACGCCCCCGTATGTGCTGCGCGTGCGTGCGGGTGCCCCGCGGAGCCTGTAAGACCGGACACTCGCCGCTGAGGTTAGGTCCGGCGGGTCGGGCCGGTGCCGGCGGGGTGGCGCGCGCGGCGGGGGCCCTGCGCTGCCCGGCGGCGAGCCGGCGATGCGCGGTGAATGAGGAGGGTCCAAAAGTAGGTCTCGGCCAGGGCCGCGGCGGCCGCGGGAGGCCGGGAGGGCCGGGCGCCTCAGAGGCGGATAGCGCCACGCCCGAGCCGGCGGCGGTCAGGATGCAATGGTGCGGGAACTTGCTGATCCAAAACGGCGGCGGGCCGCCCTCCTCCTGGTCGGCCAGCTGCCGGGCGCCGCCGTGCTCCGCCACGCCCCACAGTGGGCGGAAATCGAAAATTCAGGGACAAAAATTACTTTTTGTTCTTGTCTTAAAACACCATTCAGTGAGGCATACTAATAGATAACATCCTAAAGGTCATAATTTTGCTTTGGTTTACTTTGCAGAAGTATTTTCGTGCTTTATAGGAGTATCTGAAGTTACCTCTCTGCCGCCCGGCGTCAGTCCGGGTCATGAGACCATTTTGAAATTTACTTTTTTACCATGAAAGCGGACTTAACTGGACAAGCCGTCGCCGAGAAGATGCAAAGAAAGGTCAAAATATTTCTTTCGAACCACAGTTTTCCTCACTCGAATTAGTATTTAAACTTAAATCATGTTTCTAAGTCGGTAAAACTCTGCGGCGTAACCGTCGGTTTATAAGGAATATCTATTGATCGCCGGCGTTCGCCGGGCAGAACTAAATTGAAATAAGTTCTTTATTGTATGGGCGATGAAGCCCTTTTTGAATTTTTTGCCGCAACGTGCCGCTTTACTTACACGATCACTTCAAACTACGAATACTGCCTCCGATGCGACCCACCCGATGGTTAGGTTGCTCGGGGAGCATAGTGTCAGTTTTTTAGTTTCAGACAGTTTGACACGAGACTGGTATGGCAAAAGGTGAGGACGTTAAAAACATTGCTTTAATTTCAACTGAAATCAAGCTCTGGAAATAAGTGAGTCATAAAAGAACGGGTGTAAAGAATATTTTGAGGTTAGGTTGACCTGTGCAGGGGAAGGACAAACGACAAAGTTGCACTTCGTGATTTCTCGTGCTGTTCGTTCCGTTTTTCATTGAAAATCGTTTCTTCTTTCATAAAAGCTGTGTTGCCTTGGCACCAATTGTTTTTTTGACAAAAATATGTAAATTGAAATAATTTTTCGACATGGCATTTTTGTATCTAATACCACTAAAACATTTTGGATCGAAATGTATGTCATAGATGACTTCTACGTTATTTAAAACGACTCGATACCAATTTTCACCGTCCTCCGTTGAGCGGTTGAATTTTGTCCCACTTTTACTGATTTCCGCCCACTGTGCGCCCCCCTCGCCGCAGCGATCCAGCAGCAGCAGCAGCACCAGTGTAATGAGGGCCATTGAAATGATTCGCCAGGCAAGGCGCAGTCCATCCGCGGCATCAATTGGCCTCCCTTCAGCCGGACGGCGGCCGGCCGGTAGTGGTACGTGATCCACCGGGATGCACGCCGGGACCGCGAGGGAGGAGGGACCCTCCGCTTAACGAGGGCTTTCTCCCGGCCCGTTTCCGCCGCCGCCCAGGGCCCCGCGCCGCCCCGCATGCACGCCGTGATGAGAGCCCTCCACCACAGTGACGGAGTTTGATTAATGTGCGTTACATTATTCGCCGCGTGGTCCACTTTTTCCCGCGCGGCGGCGGCCGCAGCGGCGGCGTCATGTCACCCGTCACCTCCTCCAAAACTTTTGTTATTGTTGGGACGACGCGACGCGACGCGCTGGTGATGTCCTCAACGACAAAAAATGAAACAACTTTCCCCGCGGATGATGATGATGGTGGTGGTGGTGGTGGTTC